AGACTTTGCTGGTTGAGGTAATAATGGAGTCTTGGATTAGGGCCAAGAGTTTACTTCTTACTGGTAAGGTTACTGTTACATTAGATTTGGGACTGGAATCTTTGGTTTTCCCTCTGGACTTTCCTATAGTGGTGTGGAAAGAAGTGGGAAGAAGCTTGCATCTACTTCAAGAAGGTGTTTTTGGTTTTTCAAATTGCTTGGATTTGCTGGAGCAGTGTTGCTGTTACTGTTCCATTGCTGCTGGAAAACTTGGTAGTTCCTTTTATCCATATTGTCCTTCCTCTAACTGCTGAGCTCTTTTGGGGGTGTTGTTGGTGACTATTATGGCTACCCCTATTGATTTTGAGACAAACTTGCAATGGACTAAAGCTACCTATGCTGGGGAAATAGGAAAACCCTCTTCTGCTTTAGTAAACCCTGATCTTCTAGTTTTTCCACAGGAGTTTCATAACACTGCTTCTGGCAGGGGTTCTGCCCCTTGCATCCATCTTGTGGGATTAAAGGATAGGGAACCAACTGCCATCTTCTCAGAATAGGATCTCTTGGAACTGACAAGTTCAGTTCACACTTATTGGAAAATTCAACCTGGGTCACCCTAAGATGGATCTAGTCAGGAATTATATTGATTCTCTGAACATTTATGACTGGAAGAAGACTATGCAAGAATATTTTCCAAAAAATCAATTATTATTGCTGGTGCTAAAATGAAAATCTTAAAATGGACTCCTGAGTATGATCCTTCTCAAGAACCTCCTATAGTGCCAATTTGGTTCAAGCTACCAAAATTACCATTACATCTTTTTAAACTAAATGCCTTGTTTAATATTGGTTGTAACTTAGACACACCATTGAAGGAGGATGTTGCTACTTATAGCAAAGCTAGGCTAGCAATTGCCAGATATCGGGTGGAGAGGGATGTGACTCTACCAGAAGTTAAGAATATTTGGATTGGAGACTTCTTGAAGGGCTTTTGGCAAGAAGTTGTCATGGAGCAAAGACCCTATTACTGCTAACATTGCAAAATGTTTGGTCATAATAGGGAGAAATGCTACAGGTTAAACCCTCCAAATAGATAACAAAGAACCCACCCACAGCTGGGAATGAACACTAAAATTACTCACTTCCTGAGAGAAACAACAAAGAAACTCATCATCAGGTCTCCAATGTGACGGGAACAGAAGAAACAAATAACCCTTCTACTGATCAAATCTCTCCCAAGAGCCAGCAGTTTTGAGACAAACTTGCAATGGACTAAAGCTACCTATACTGATCAAATCTCTCCCAAGAGCCAGCAGGTTAAGTCTCCTTCAGCCAAGAAGAGAGATACAGCTGGTGTGGCTTTGGAGACAGGTAGAACTGGAAGTGAAATTCCCACAGTTCATGTCAGCTCAAGGGACCTTATTGAGGCCGCTAGACCTACTAGGGATCTTGTGGCTAGAGTGGAGGTGGCTTCCTCTACTGAAGCTATGGTTTCAGAATTGAACAAAGAATTGGAATCAGAATGGCAGACCCAAAAAACAAGAAAGAAAAGGAACACTAAACAAGAAGTTATGAAAAAAGGAAAGGAAGAGGAATTATCAATCAATGAAGATCCTAGCACCCAAAGGAGAGGAAGTATCACTAAACCAAGGGGAAGAACTAGATCTAGATCTCAACCTTCCATCCATCCCCCCTCTCCATGATAAATATGCTGTGTTGGAACATAAGGGGGATTGCTCATTCGTTATCTCTAAAAAGACTAAAATATCTTAACAAAAAACATAAATTTTGGTGTTTGGCAATTTTGGAACCTATGGTTCATATCAACACTAACAATATTGCTAAAGCTTTCCCTAGCTTCAATCTTATCACTAACCTTAACAACAAAATTTGGTTTTTCTGCAGGAAAGAAATGAAGTGATCTATTTTAGTTAACCACCACCAAATCTTGCATATGAGAATTAGTACTGATGGCATGGATGGATTTGCTTCTTTTGTTTATGCTGGCAATTCCAAAATGGCAAGAATTGAGCTGTGGGAGACTCTACAAAACATCTAAGCCTCCATAGATAAAGCTTGGATTGTGGGAGGGGATTTTAATTGCATTTCTTCTCATGCCGAAAGAAGGGGGGAGAAGAACTCTCAATCCTGTCACGATATCAAACTTCACTGAAAACGTTCAAATAACTGGTTTATTTGATCTTGGATTTAGTGGCCCAGCCTTCACCTGGAGAAGGAAAAGTATGTGGGAAAGACTGGATAAAGTCTTTTCCAATGACCACTGGATTCAAAACTTCTTGCAGACTACTATAACTCACTTAAGTCTTGCTGGATCTGATCACAGGCCTTTGCTGATCACCATTGGTCCTAACAAAAGTTGTCAGAAGAGTGCTTTTAGGTACTTGAATTTTTGGTCTCAACATAAGGATTTCCTGCAGATTGTTAAAGATAATTGGAAGGAAGATTCTCATCCTGACCCTTTCATTAATCTGTGGCAAAAGCAAAAAAAGGTGGGGAAAGACCTCAAACAATGGAGTTAGAACACTTTTGGAGATTTGCTGAAGGTGGTGGAGAAGGCTGAAAAGGAGCTGCTTGATCTAGAGGAGGAGCACAACAAGGGGCAGACTGATGAAACTGCTCTTTTAGAGGCCAATGAAAGATTTCTTACTGCTGTAAACTGGCAAGACCATTTCCTAAAGCAAAAGGCTGCCAAGAAAAAATTTACTGAAGGGGATAGAAATACCAAATTTTACCATGCCTGCATTAAGCACTAGAGTAAGTGCAAAACTATCCATTGCATTAAACATCAGAATGGAAATTGGATCAGGAAGGAGGAGGAGATTGTTGAAAGTGCTGTCAATTATTGTCAAAACCTCATGACTGTGCACAACACAGATAGAGACCAAATAGACAAAACCTTATTTTTTGAAAGCAATAAGTACACTGCACACCTAAATCTGACTGACATTCCTGAGGAGGAGGAGATTCAAAGAACTTTAAATTCCATATATAGTAGAAAATTTGCTGGTCTTGATGGCTTCACTACTGACTTCTATAAAAAAGCATGGGGGAAAATTAAGGTGGAGGTTATTCAAGCTATCCAACGGTTCTTTAAAGGACATCCTCTCCCCAATTATTTCTGTGCTTCATCTATTGTTTTCATTCCTAAGACTTTAATTAAGAACCGCTGGAGTCAGTTCAGAACCCTAAGCCTCACAAATGTCATCAGCAAGATGGTAAGCAAAATCTTGGTGAACAGACTTCAACCAGCTTTACCCAAGTTGATAAGTATTAACCAAGCTGCTTTTGTGAAAGGGAGAAGTATAGGGCACCAAATCTTACTTTCTCAAGAGCTCTTACAAGACTTGGAGAAACCTTGCAGAGGTCGCAATGTAATCTACAAGCTTGATCTGAAGAAGGCTTATGATATGGTACATTGAGATTTTATTATGGAATGCTTGGAGGCAAGAGGGTTCTCTAGGGAGTTCTACTAGACCATAAATAGATGGCTTGAGGCTAGTGCCAATTCTGTCTTCATAAATGGAAAAGCCCATGGGTTCTTTAAAGCTACTAGAGGTCTTAAAAAAGGAGATCATCTTTCCCCTACAATTTTCATCTTGGTGTTGGATTACCTCTCAAGACTCATTGATAGCCAGGAGAATAAGAAATGCTTCAATGCTTATCACAATAAAGCTAAGATGGACATTAGTCATCTTATTTATGCAGATGATATCCTCATTTTCACAAGGGCAACAAAGGCTGATACTAGATACCTTGATGATTACTTGAATAAGTTTCAAAAGGCATCTGGTCTCAAAGTTAATAAAGATAAATGTCAGATCCTAACCAGCAAGAGAGTTCCAGTTTCTATCAGACAGTGGTTGAATGAGTTCACTGGTTTTTCAACTATGAGCATGCCATTTAAATATCTGGGCACTCAACTTGTTAGAGGCAGAACCAAACAAACCCAATTTGATGAGGTCATTGATAAAATTAATTCTACCCTTCCATGGTGGTCCAATTCTTACCTATCTAATGGTGGAAGGATCACCCTCCTCAAGAGTATTCTAGCTGCCATCCCTCTCTACACCCTTCAAGTGGCAACCATGAAAAGAAACACCACTTTATGCTGGAAAGAATGTAACAAGTTCCTCTGGGCTGGCAATAGGAAACAAATGATCTGGGCTAGTTGGCAAAGAGTGGCAAAAACTTATGAAGCTAGTGGTTTGGATTTCAAAGGTGTTCACCAAATGTAACAAATCAGTATGTGTAAAATTTGGATCAGATTTAGACAAAATGATAGTCTCTGGGCAGAATACATGATGGACAAATATTGTAAATATCATCATCCTGGGGAAGTAACTAAAAAGGTTGGAGACTCCAGGACCTGGATCCAGATGCTCAATGGAAGAGAAGACATTGAAAAGTTTCTTATTTGGGAGCTGGTTCATGGAGAAATAAACTTCTGGAAGGACAAATGGTGCCCTACTGATCACTTCGAACCACTGCAACATGCCAAAGAGGAAGATCTACTTGTCAAAGACTGTTGGAGTGGAAATGAGTGGTCGAAGGATGTTTTGAATACCATCCTGAAGGAATCTTCTGCTGGAAGAATTTTCTGCTGAAAGAATTTCTAAAATTCACTTTGATAGAAATAAAAAAGACCAGATCCATCTCATTAAAAGGACAAGCTCTAGCCTTTCTAAGGACATCCAGAATAGTATTTTCAGAGGGGATAACTGCCAGTGGAATATTTTTACTTGCCAAAACTCCCTAACTCCCTCAATGATGTTCTTTTCTTGGAGAGTGCTAAATGATTTGATTCCTACTGATGACATTCTAAAACTGAAAGGTTTGAAAGGCCCCCAAACATATCACCTTTGCATAAACAATCAACAATCCAGTGATCATCTTTTCTACATGTTTGGAAACATTTGACCTCTAAATTTAACCTCAACCTGATCAATGCTGGCTAGGGAAACATCAAAGAAAATTTAAAAGAATGGTAGGAAATAAACCTTATGTCTCTTCCCTTCATTGTTGTCTGGTTTCTATGGAATGCTAGGAACAAGGCAAAGCATGAGGACATTGGGACTAACCCAGACTCTGTGGTTTATAACTGTCAGGCCTACCTTCAAAAGTTCATTAGCTGGAAGAAGTTCCCTAAGATTTTGAAGAACCTGCCTAATATAGAACTAAAATAGCTTAAAGTTATTAAGGTTAGATGGGAGAATCCCCCTTATCCTTTCATCAAAATAAACACTGATGGAAGCTTCACCAATAAGAAAGCTGCTATTGGAGGGATTTTTAGAGACCACACTGATAAAGTCCTCCTATATTTCAAGGCCCCCTACATTGTTTTTGATGACTTGGAGACTAAAGCCATTGTTATTTATTGGGCACTCAAATTTGCCATGGAAATTCAGTGGAATTGGATTATTGCTGAAGTGGACTCTTCCCTACTGGTGGATCTGATCACTGAAAACTTTTCCCCCCCTTGGCACATTATCCAGTGGATGCACAAGATAAAGAAGCTTATCATTGATATTAAGCTACAAATCTCCTTTGTTTTTAGGGAAGCCAACATGCCTGCAAATTTTCTGGCTTTGGAGGGTCCTAACTCAATTCATGCTAAGGTCTCCACTTCCCCTCCCCTTCCCCTTCAACTTTTATTACAAAGAGATAAACTTCATATACCTTACCTCAGATTGCAGACATGATGACAGGATCTTCCTCATTGCTCTTTGGACTCTTGTCACTCCTTTACACTTGATGCTCTGCTTTTCTGCTGTTGTCAGCCTGCTGGGGTTTTTTTGGATTCTTTTTTTGAGTTTATATATATATATATTCAGATACACACACACACACACACTTATATATATAAAGTTGTAAAACAAGGACTTTGTATGAATCGGTGGAGGGTATATAAAGTTGAGATGTAACTGTCACTGTTAAAATTCATGATTTCTCTTGTAAAACTCAAGTCTAGGAGAGACCCGAGTTGTAGTGGACTCGTCAGTCCAACTACTACAAGAGAACATACAAGTCTAACCATAATAAAAGTTTAAGAAAGCACTTCCCTCATGACACACAAAAAGCAAATCAAACTACTAACAATCCAAACATCTACCAATCATCAATTAAACTAATCAATCCACACTGAAACAAACACAATACAACACTAGAAATCATAACTCTTAGGCACACTAAGTCAAACCACACTGATAACTATGGGTTGTCTCCCATAAAGCGCTTTGTTTAACATCATTAGCCCAACAAATGATTCCACCTAGATCAAAATTCCATTAAAGTAATCTTTGATCAATCACCCAGTTTTTTCCAGATCCACCGATTCATACAAAGTCCTTGTTTTAAAACTTTTATTTCTTCTCTTACTTTTCAGATTAACTCATCTCCTTGAGCCTCATATTTTTTTCTAGATCCAATATTCTTCTAGTAATTTTCTCAATTTTTATATTAATCTCATCCTTGAAATTTATAAGAAATGGATCTTTATATGATACCTCATGAACTCCAAAATTTTAGATCGGATTCTCTCTATCTAATTTAGATTATGGATCAAATTCTTTTAGGTTACTCTTGTCTTTCAAGGTATCTTCTAATTCTTCCCGTTGGTACTAAGTAAATGGTGGCAAATGGTGGAGGTGGTCTTTCTATATATGTTTCTAATTCCATAAGAATTTCTTCCATTTGTCTTTCAATATCTTTATCCTTATCTCTCAACTCAAAGTTCTTTTAAAACATATCCTCGAATTCTCTTCTAAGTATCAGTTCAATAATTTTAAATTGGTCATCATTCATCTCCTTAGGATTTATCTCCTTAAGGTTTATCTTAGAGTCACTACGTAAAATCTCTGGGGGTAACAGTTAATTGCATTGATATCTTAGAGTCACTACGTAAAATCTCTGGGGGTAACGGTTAATTGCATTGATAATCTGCCCCAATTGGTTTTCTATTTTCCTTATTGCAACCTCTTTATTTTCTAATTGTCTCGTCATTTGAATCAGAACCTTTTCAAACATTAATTTCTTCTCTTTGTCTTGTGGGTTGAAGTTAAATTGAGGAGGGTTATTAATTGAGTTAATAATCTACCTCTGGTTTTTCATATTCCTTATTGCGGTCCCTTGACACTCTAGCTCACTCTCCATTTGAATAATAACCTCTTCTAATAAATTCTTCTCTTCATTCTATGGGTTGAAGTAAAAATTATGAGGAAAAGAAAGTTCATTATTTTAATAAATAAGATTATTCAAATTATACATCTGATCAAATTGATTATCTTTCCAAAATTGGTTTTCTCCTCCAAAATTATTATTCTTGTTAAAATTCAAATGATTTTCCCAACCTGGATTGTAATAATCGGAATAAGAATTATGTATCTCACGGTCATATCTTTTTATGTATTGATCCAACTTCCTCTCAATATCTACAGTCTGAGAAATTAAAATTGTAAGCATATCTTCTTGAAAATTTGTCACTCTCTTGGGGTTTATTCTTTCAAAGCTACAAGCATTATAAACAAAATCTGAATATTCATTATGTAGTTGATGTGCCATTTCTACATTAAATTCATGGAGTTTTTTCAAATCTCTCCCAAAAGTCCTCTCTAAATTTGGCGTGTAAAATTCTAGGTCTGCACCTCCTGAACTACGCATACAAATCAAAAGACTTAACTAATAAGTTAGATATAAAAAATATTTTTCATATTTTCTATTTTATTTAAAATAAACACATAATATCTAAATACATAATATAAGAATACTATAAATTTCAAATCTAAGTGTTACATGTTTAACTAAAATTCTCCTAAAGTTCTTACTGAAGCTTCTGCGGCAACGACGCCAAAAACTTGATGCGCTCCTAGTGTGTGTTATTTTTCTGCATGTTTTATGTTAATTTAAATCCACGCTAACAGTGACCAGAACTTGACCCATTTAAAAATTACATAGTAATTTAGCTTTTCAAAAATGTCGCTAACAACTTGACCTAATTTATATTCATTATTTAATGTACAAAGTAGAAATGTTATATAATTATAAAATAGTTCACACACTAGAAGTTCTATGCCACCTAGTGGGTCTACATAAGTGCATGTATCGCTTCAAGTAATATAGGGCTTTCTTTAAAAATTCTAGTATCGATCCCACCAAGAAGCGAGTTAAGAAATCCTTTAGGCTAATTCAAGTTTATTAAAGGAATTAGCTAAATGAACTAAGTTTACTAAATTAATCTATAAACTTTAAAGTTAAATTTACTAAAACTAAACAAAGTTTTGTGACTAAGAGTTCAAATTTAAGAATGTATCCTTCTCATTATAATGAAATTTTAGTTAAAGATAGAGATAAATGGTTTAAATTTGTATTGTGACAAATCAGAACAATTTTAATTCTCTACCCTGATTCAGCGTTATAGAGAATTATTGGCTAATCACAGGTTTAGTCCCTAAATCAGTGGCTAGGACCACGCTGGAGTATACTGGCTCTCACTCCAGAGCTCCCATTTCCCTTCCTCTGAAGATTAACACTAGCTTTAGTTCTTAAACATTAAGACCAAATTGAGAATTTTATTCTGTCACCCTAAATTGTCCAATTCTACGCCCAATAAAGTATATTTTTCTATTTTTTTATACCTAATTCCATGAAAGAGACACTCATCCACCGAATTAAATGTGATTCTCACTCAGTTGTAGAACTCATACTCATTTTCCCTGATCATATATTTTACAACAGATTTTAACATTTCAATTAGCCAAATCAAAAGTAAATTAAGAATGCAGTGGAAAAATCATCATAATTTATTTTATATTTTTAAATGGCATATCCAAATTAACTCTTCATTTCATCATATCTCAAAGAAGGTAGAAAGATAACGAAGTCTACTCATAACTCATGAGGAAGATATGACAAAACACATATTATACATATAAAAACAAGTTTATAAAATAGAAAAATGAAAGAACACAACTTATCTTAGACTCATCCCCAAGCAAATCACTCGATGTTCCCTTGTAGCACTTTCTCTTTTTACATTCAACACTAAATTCTCTCTTGGATGTGTAATGAAGAAGAAACCTCAGCCCATAACTGTCCCGGAAGTTATTGTCGTCGGCCTGGGCACCGTCGGAGCCACTTTTCTCCACTTTTCCAGACTCAGGCATCGTTGGCACCGATTTGGGTGCCTTCAGCACTGGTCTACAGTAGCTCCACATCAGGCATCGTTGGCACCGATTTGGGTGCCTTCAGCGCTGGTCTACAGTAGCTCCACAGTTTCGCTCTGTTTGGCTCCATTTTAGCTCTATTTCGCCTAATTTTAGTTGCGTTTCATTCCTAATAGATAGACCTAAAAAATAAGCATGAAAATAACCTTTATTTAAAGTGTAATTTGCTTCAAAAATGTGTGAGAAGTGTGAATGAGATTAAACTTAGAAAGACATATCGAAATGTGTCAGGATAGAATTTTTTCTTGCTCAGATAGGGCAAAATTTCATTTCTTGCTCGTTTTTTCTCCAAATTGCACTGTTTTTGCTTCTTTTTCTCCAAAACTCCATTTCTTGTCCTTGAATCCAAAAATATACAAAATACCTTACTTTAAAGTTGAATATCATTAAAAATCATTAAAATGGAGCATAAAATATGTATGAAAATGTAGTCATTTTTTAGGTGTATCAAAATCCAGCAAACTTAACTGTTACTTGTCCTTAAGTAAAACATTTACTACATAAAAGTTTTGAGTAATGGTAGAGAGTTTAACTTCTAAATTTCTATAATTTGGTCCACTAAATATAATAGCCCAACTTAAGAAAAATTTTTAACAACTTAAGTCAAAAATAAAACTATAAGAACATATAGCAGACAAGTCAAAGATTTCTGATTCTCTATTCATTTAAAGAAGAATTACAATTTGTTATATTAAACTCACTTAGAATATCCATATGAAAAACAACTTCATGAGAACTTTATGAGTAAAGATACTAATACTCAAATATAAGTTTAAAGAAATGTAATAAAGCCTTCTTCCTCAAGTTGATTCAAGTGAAGCCAATTTTTGATTAGGCATCTTCTCAAGCTTCTCCTCACATACTTTTCTTTTCTTTTTCTTTTCTCTTTTTTTTTTATCTTAGGATAATTTTTAATGCTTTCTTTTTTTTTTCTTTTCATAGGGGGATTACTATATCTGGATAGCCTTTACAAATTTTAAACTTCACTATCCCCTTCTTAAAGTTAAAAACTTTTCACATTCCTTCACACTATAAATTCATATCAACTTTAAAGATTTTTTCATAAAGGCTCATTCTTTTCTTCTTACATGAAACTCTAAGATTCTTAATACTTCAAATATACGATTACCTTTACTTTAAATAGAAAAAGCATAGCCTTATTCTTTCATACCAATTATCTTAACTTTAGAATTAACTTTCATAATTAAAAGCTATTACTTAAGTCTACTATATATTTAGAAACACAAATATAGTTATCGAAAGTTAGCCTCTAATACCAAAGGTCATGTTAAATTAAACTTTTAAAATATAGCTAATTGAGTATGAATAAAATTTGTTTCATTCTTTAAAAGAAAATTTTCTTCCCCCCAAACTTAAATTTTTAAATATTAAATTTTTAAATATTTTCCAATATATTTTCCAATCAATTTTGTAAAATGTAGCAAGAAGAAAAAATAAAAGTTGAATCTACTAACTACTAC